ATGTAATAATTACTTTATTTTAATATCTCTACATTTTCTCTCAAGATTTAGCACAATAAAATTATTTAAATATTATATTATTTTTAATATATAAAATTATACTACCAAAATTTCCTCAAAACTATAAATATGTATTATATTAATATTCATATGCATAAATTCCACAAAACTTTTGATAACTGCTATTGTGATTTCATAGAAAAGAAATCAACATACAAATTAACAAACTAAACCAATATATACTATAATAACACCAAGATGTAACTTTTTATAAAAAACAAAACCACAATTTTTTTTAAAACCAAAATATAATGATAAAATCCAAATTCAACTATGATGATAAAACCAATGTCACAGTTTTGATAATACACCCAAAACAATTCATTATAGTTAAAAAATCACCAAAAACTTAAACCATATTTATATATTGTTACTATTGCATACCAATTATGAATCCATACAAAATAATAATTTTTCATAACATAATATCAATATGAGAAATTTTTACTTAAAGTGTACTATTTTAATCAAAATTTCAAATCAAAAAAGTTAAACTATGAAAAAAAAAGTAATGTAGCTTTTTTCTTTTAAAGGATAAAAGTATATACATTTTTTAAAGAGAAAAAAATTAAATAATAAAGTGATTTTTCGACTACCTTTAGTTACAAATTGTTTATGTAAAGTAAATTTGTTAACATTTATAGTAGTTTTGCAATTGAATAATAACGTGTTTTAGAAAATTATTGTAGGAATCATATAATATAATTTACATTTATATATCATTGAAAAGAATTATAACTTCATCATCTAATCAATTCAGTTATAACCATAAATTAACTTAATCATCTGTATTTGATTTTATAAATATCTTATCTTTGTATGCTATTTTTTGTTAAAATATGTGAGAGTCTATTATATTTTGTTTGAAGACAAAGTTAAAACAAATGAAAGAAAAAATAAATGATTTTATATATTTTATTGCATCTAAGAATATATATATATATATATATATATATATATATATATATATAGAGAGAGAG